GGGTAGCTGAAAAAGATAGTACATAGTACCACTACTCGCCACTAGATGTCGTTAAGTGTCACAATACACAATAATAATTGAAATGCAAAAAAAGCGTAAGTTTGCTTAGGTCACGCACTTTGCGACTATCCTAGTCTAGAAATATAGTTAAGGGCAGAAATTGGCCCTTGGAACAAACTGAAAAAATCATTATGGCCCAAAGGCTTCAAAGTTTGGGGGCCCCTGCTCTAGATGTTATAGAGATGTCAATTTGCTTATATGTTTATGTACAAACATAAATTACATATTTGGTTAAATTAGTTCTAATTCTTTTATTTATACTGTGGATCATATTTTCAACTTTCATGTCTGTATTTATTCAAATTGTCATATTCCACACCCTATGAAAGTACTATATTTTTGTATTAATCGACCCCGTCAGCAAAGATATTGTATTAGTGTGTATTATTATATTATAAGTAATAAGGTCATCCTTGTAATTGAACCTATGAGGTCTGTTAGGGTGAATAAAAAAAAATATATGGAACCAAAAACTGTTTACTTCTTTACTTAGCCAATTTCTAAAACTTGAAAACGGAATCAATTGATATGGCATAAATTCGGTATTGTATAATACCTAAACATAAATATAAAAATACACACAAATATCCCGCTGACTACAAACATTAATCAATGACCCCCTCAAATGTTATGACAACATTACTGAAATCAACAAAAATATCAGCATAAAAGTTATCAAGGTGATTACATATTAAACATGAATAACTGTATTCATTACATGGATTGTGAGTCAGATATCTCCATTTTCAAAAATGCCTAAAAATATTATAGGAACAGTAATTTATTTTTTGACAATTTATTTTATTAACGGCAATGCCTATTATTCAACAGGTTCATACATATGTATTTAACAGTACCTAATCTAAGCTGGGTTTAAGGAAAAAATATATAATTTAGAAGCATTCTTTGTATATTGAATGTTTATTTAATTTTTCGAAGCTGAAGAAAATTGAAAGTATAGTGTTGAATAAAATTTAAGATATCTCTATAAATTACAAAGAATAAAATAGAATGTTGGTCTTTTTATGACCCGTTTCAACGTATTAAATAGTTGTCTTTGAACAATATTTCAGTATCTTCAATAATGTGTATCGAAAAATACAAGTCATATCATTTATGTCTCGACTATAATCTTGAAGGATCAAGACAAGTCTGAAATGTGTTTTATTGTATAAGTGAACAGACCTTTTTCTCAACAAGCAGAGTTTTATTTCCATTCAAATGTTAGTTAAAAGTATGTGTTGTGTCAAAACAAATTTTAGACTGTTACACATGAATATTTTTTTTCTGTCCGAGAGCATGCATTGTCAAAATATTATACATCAAAGAACCACTTGGCCACTGGCTATACAGGATGTCAACTTTACAACTCGTCGAAATAACTTACAGCCTTTAATATACACCTTATATTCAGGAATAAGGCTTCTCCGTTAACTCGTCTCAATAAAATATTTAAAATGAATTGAGAAAAAAAATAAACAAAGAAATTAATGAAACATTTGCAATTTTTGTGTGCATGTACCATGAAACTTTTTTTCTGTGCTCAAAGAATAATATTTCAAGGCACACAGGATCTCTTGAATGGGTTAATAGTCTGAAGAATTTTGTCAATAAAACATAAATAGATAAAAAACACTCACGTCTTTGCACTAGCTTCAACAAACATCAAACCATTTTCTTCGGCAAATTTACTAGCCTCCTCATAAGTTACATCCCTCTGTCCTTCCAAATCACACTTATTTCCTATGAGGAATATAACTGTACTGGGATTGGTTAAGTTCCTGGTGTCTGTCAACCAACTGCTGAGGTGGTTGTATGTAGATCTCCTAGTAATGTCATACACCATCAAAGCACCAGCAGCGCCACGATAATAAGACCTTGTTACAGCCCTAAAGCGTTCCTGTCCAGCAGTGTCCCATATCTGGAGTTTTATTTTCTGTCCAGACACTTCAATGATGCGGGTGCCAAATTCTACCCCTATGGTGTGGGGGCAATCAGCCATAACTGAAATTAACATGTTATGATGCTGCTGTTTTCTTCATCAATGTTAGACAGATGAATATTGGTTTTCATTCGATCACACTATGAATATACATTTGTATAGAAATGATGAGTTGATAAAAATGGAGTAAATGATATAAATCATCAACATTAAGACTTAAAACATTTCACAATATGAATATCAAATAGAGGTATAAAAGTTTTCTCACATATATAAATATATCTGTACGTATGAAATAGAGAAAATATCATTAGTATATTCAGTCAGAATATATACTTTGCATGGAGTCAACTATAAGGTAATCTTTGATTTTAGTTTTGAACATCCTGATATCCAAATAAGTTAAAAAAAGAAATTTCTCTCCAGATGTAATCCATGATGCAAAAGTATTTAATCTGATAAATTAACATTCACCAACACTGCGTGTTCTGAATAACAGAGGTATTACAAGAATGCGTAGTTATTCCTCTAATACCACAAAATTCAAGAATCTCAAGTAATAAATGATGGTTAGTTAATACAGTTAAAAGCTTTGGTCAGGTACCAATATGCTATAGCAGGGTCTTCGTTTTCCAGACTTATACTCAACTGCTAGATGATTTCAATTACTGTGTTGGTGGTAGAATCTATTTTTGATGAATACAAATTACCATTCATGAAGAATATTAGTTTCATTTAGAAATAGCTCTGTTATTTTCCACAAAACCATACAATTTGAATAGGTCTGTGATTATCAGAGGAATTTAGATCTTCTTTTTTGTGAATTTCTTTTATGAAAACTATTAGAAGTTCTGCAAAGAAGTTGTTCATTTTTAATGTTATAAATGTCACAAACTGTAATAGTAAAAAATATCAGTATTATATGCTGGGGAATTGATATTTCTTGCTATATTTCAACAGAAAAGTAATTTGTTAATGTGTGTCTTTTACTTACACTTTTTCTCAGTGAATTGGTGGAGGAGACATGACTTCCCCACTCCCATGTCGCCGATTATGATGTATTTGAAAATGTAGGAATAATTGTAAGGACCAGCTGACATTTTGTCTGAACTGTAAACAAACAAATCAGAAAACACAAAGAATCAAAAGCAATGACATACTATCTCGCAATTGATTATCTAAAACATTAAGGATGTAAAAAATAATTATGTGGTTAATGACTAATAAAGGGTAATAGTTATACACAATATACATTGAAGCTAATTATTTGAAAGAACTTGAGCTAAATGTAGTCTAGAACAGCAGTACATTACCATTTACCTTTCAATCACTCGAATCTAAATGAAACAAATTTTCAACAGTTCAAAGTGAAAATTAACAAGAATTTTATGGTGATCGAAACCTTTCTTTGACACGATGTGATAAACTACAAACAGTGGGTAGCCATTTTCAATCCTTTTGACAAGAATGACAAGTAATGGAGTAATTAATCTAGATTCTCAATTGATTAATGGTTTGTGGGGGCGAATATTCAAATTCTACAGAAGATAAATCCCATTTTAACGACTTTGATTAAAGGATACTTCTGGGATCCAGAGAAAAATGAATTGTAACATCGGTAAATGATCTGTCAAAATGCAACTGGCGCCAAATTTGAAAACAAACTTCAAAAACGGAACAGGGTTGAAAGGTTCATTCCAAAAAATAAATAAAGTATATAATGAGAAAGGATATGTCATAGATACTTGATATTTAGTGAAAATCTTGAATAAGAAAGGAGATTTACCGATTTCATTGATTTGATTCGAAAAACTGTTATTAATGAGACGTGAAATAATCATGTAAGGACATAAGGGCCTCAGAGTGATAAAAAAGTATATTATTATTCTGAGTAGAAGGGCCACATATGTGGCCAGGGCCGAATTTAGGGGAGGGCAGACGGGGTTACTGCCTAAGCGCTTCCCCAACAATAAAAAAAATATCAAAATTTTGACGGGTCAGCTAGATTTCAGCGAAATTATCAACGACATTTCGCCGAAAAGCTCACAAAGTTCCATTCGTAAACGCGGTAATTTATTTTTTAATAAATTGTATTTGAATTCTTTCATGACATAATTTCATTTGCTGACAATACATTTTTGAAAGACGACTGAATTTTTTTTTAATTTGGAAATATTTGGGTTAGGTTAGAAGCAACAAGTTAAAAACTTCTTTCATACATGCAATTCTATTTTAAAATTCCTACTTTTAATAGTTATGAATTTTCAGAACAGGATCCAAATTTTCACTAATCCAGTCAGAAATAGATAATTCTTTCTGCATGTGTGAAACTCGGTGAAGAAACATGTTTCAGTGAAGTTTGATAGAACTGACCGATACTGGATGAAAACCCATTATAACATATTCAAAAAACCTACTTCCCAATAGGTCTGTGAAATTTATTAAATATTTCTCCATGAAATGAAACAACAGGATCGATTATCGACATTTTATTATTTGTTACATTTTCTAAACAAAGCTCAGTATAGTATAAAAATTGAAAATAGGCCTATGGGAATATTCCCTCCTCATAAATATCGAAAAATACTGGACGTGCTTTGAAAAGCTGGGCGGTGCACTTTCTACACAGCATTATTTAGAAATCTCACTTATTTGGAATGGATAAATAAAGTTTTCGCCTTTAGATTTAATTCCAACAAAAACAGGGACTGAATTCAACAAGAATTGAGATCGAAATATCGGTGTGCAATTTACTGATAGAGTAAAAAAAACTAGTGATGGTGAAATATATACACTTTGAGAGCCAGTTTATTGTTATTTATTGCAAAAATATTTTTGTGTCAAATATATGCCTAATTCTGTGTTTGTTAATTACGTAATTACGCAAAAAATCAGCAATGTAAATTAATTCAATACAAAAAATATATTCAGCGCAGGTCTCCATTATTAATTTTCCTTTTAACAATGAAACTGTCCCTCAATTCCGCAGTGCATTAATGAAACAAAATCAATTGGAAAAATTCTACCGACTTTATAAAGAAATTCTCCCTAATCAAATTCCCTATGTGGAATTTTAAAATTGTAGTTTCAACTAAGTATATTTGATTACAACATTCCGTTTGGTTGAATCTAGTTATGTTCAAAATATGACAAGTATAGTTTACTGAAACACAAGCCATGTATGAGGAAAAGTCACAGTGAACTGTACCTGGTAATTTCATTCACATATCAACAAATTCCATACAAAATCATTTTCATATTCATATTTTCACTTAGTAGGTTTTACAATGAAATATGTTTATTGAAACTTCGAACAAATATTTCTAATAGAACTATGCTGAAACCAGTTCTGACAAGTATGTAAATTTCCTAAAAGGTACTTAATGTACTCAATAAAATACAAAAATTTTCATTTTGGAAAAACGGCAGTTGATTACTACAAGAACAATTCAATTTTCTTTTCTGTAATAATCTTGGCACTTGATTATGTGAGATAACATTCAATTTTGCTCAAATTGCACTTGAATGAGTGCAATTTTTGCCCTTTCAATAATCACCTCGTATATACATATTTTTTGAAACCAAAGAGAGCATTAATTACATATTTCGGAATCATAAGTTGCTGGTCTACAATAACCATTTTTGGATTTTGTTAAATAAAATTAAATATATACAGATTAAATGTGCAGAACAAAAAGTTAAATGCTTTGAAAAAAAACTAGAAATCAGGAATAAAAATATCCCAATTTATATAAATAGAAAATTTTCTAGGAATTAAAGCTTATATAGATTTTCAATTGAATCAGAGTTCAAATGAAATTCATGAAATATCATCTAACTTGTTCGATTGATGACCTATTTATTTTGTGGAAAGAGGATAGAGAATATAACTTTTGGCTAATTTCTACAGAGATTTTTATTTGTTATGTTGGGTTTGTGTTTATTACACTATTCCTAAGTAAACTGACCAGACAATTATTTTCTCTATCCTATAGTTAACTATCATCTACAAAAAACTCCTCTCATCAAAATAATTTGTTGATATTGTCACTGTCTCAAGGGTAATATTGCTTGTAAATACAGCAGCAGATTGACCTTAGGATTTTGAGATGGGAGCACATTTTCAAGTGGTGTAACCACCAAGTGGCTCATTGAAACATATTTCTTCTGTAAACAATGGCAGATTTGAATCAAAATCTCGGGAAGGAAACATATGTTTCTCATAAACACAAAGTAGTATTTTGGTGTTCTTAAATTAAACATATAAATTGAAAACTAAGAGATAAATATACTAGGAGATAAATCCCATTTTCGTAAACATGTTCAAATAGTTGCCGCTTCCAAATGAGAACATCCATACTAAAACTTGAGAATACAAGAAACTATATTCAAGTAACACAACTGAGATTTTCACTAAACAGTTTACAAAACCGCAACACGTGTTTCATATTGAAGATGCTATTGTATAGTGAAACATGTGCTGCGATTTTGTAAACTATTTAGCGAAAATCTAATCCAATAAAGTGTAACATGTAAGATGGATTTTCACGAAGTATCACCCAATCAAATAACATGAACTAAAATATATTAAATGCCTTCAATAAATGTATTAGTTTATAGATGAAACATAAGACATCGAATTCTTCTAGTTTTAAATTATTTCAGTAAATTTGTTGAAAAAGTCAGCATAATCCATGTTTAGTATCAGACATTTCATTTTGTAGGGACGATATGGTAAAAACTCAATTTATATATTTAAATTTAGGGTAGCGAAGTTACTCCCTCTTCTTTATAAATCTGCTTTTGTGAATGAAGGTCACAGAGCCAGAAAAAGACACCTGAAACTGTAATATCACTTTCGATAAAGTATTATTTTTTTGTACTTCAGGGGCGTCAAGCTATTCAAAAATGCTGACATCTTACACCTAGATCTTGAAGTTTTTTGCAAATTCTCACCATATCTTCTTCACTTGAAGCTTCAACTGAGCCACCTGGTATATTATTGGTTAACTTCAATACAATTGTTCCGCTCATCTCATTCTTATATCCTTAATAAGATTCTGACTTAAATATTTCTTCAAAAGCAGGTGATTTTCAATTAAAACACAATAAATATCATAATATCCGATATCCAGAAATGAATACAATTTACTTGACTAATATGAAATGCTCGAAGCAATTTTTGAATCTGAAAAATTCCCGTTCTCAATTCTTTAGTGACATTAACAACACAATACTCAATATGAAGAGGACACGAGTTTTTATATTCTCTAAAACCTCTTGAATTGCACAGATATAGACAAAAGTCAAAAACTATTCATCATTTCAATATATCTCTCTCTGTAAATAAGTTTCGTGTAGATCAGAGATACTTCAAGAATAGCTTCCTCTCAGTAAAAAGGAAAGAAACATAAAACATTGAAAAAATATATTAGTAGGCCATATTCATCAATGTAAAATAATCCCCAGAAAAGACCAGACACTAATCTTGACAAAAATACTTTCAGTTGAATTGGGAAAACAGATGTTCACAATATTGAACAAGGTTGCAAAATTTTATCAGAGATCTCTAAAATCAATGTGTATCAAAAGAGCTTTCAGTCGGACAAAATTTCAGAAAAACATTCGTAACATGTTGAACAAATTTTTGGGAAAGAAAGTTTTTGGTTTTCTACTACTCTATCTTGATACAAAAAAAAGGATGAATTCATGAATGAATTGTGTGTATTTTCTATAATGTTATCCAATTTGGTACTGAAGAGCCTTGGGGCAAGTGTCTTAAGGCAAAACATCGATGTATACCAGTGAGGATGACAGTGTTCTATGTAAGTGCAATTTGTTACCATTCATTTAAAGTAGACCTCATGTGAATGATATCTGATTTTTATTCCACAACGAATGTTTGAAATACAAACTGAGTAGAGAAAAGTATCTTCTGTATAATTCAGTATTCATATAGAAGTATTTGTTTCGAAAGAATTTTTTCTATCGTGTAATTCAATGTTTATATGAAAGTAGCTGTTGCAGGAGGACTTTCTTTCAGTTTGTGTCTGAAAGTTACTTCTTTGCATGATCTACACATCCATGTATAGAGTTACTTCCTTCCTTTCTTTGGAAGATTCCCTCATCCTTTTTTTGTATCAAGATTGAGTAGTAGAAAGCCAAAAACTTTCTTTCCCAAAAATTAATCACCCCTAAAAATATAACCCCTTCAATTCAAATGTTGAACAAAATTTCTCATGGCTAGAGCAAGAATGCTAAGGTCAGTTATATTGGTGACATTTTAAAAACTTTGTCGCAATTATAGTACATATGCATGAGTGCGGGTTTTAAGCGTTTTTGAAACAACTCTTGTATAGTATATTCTGAAAAGCATTTGTACTAAGTCTGAGGTTCAAATTTGAGGTGGAATTATAATGCATGGCAATACCTTTTTGCTGAAAACTCGCAAGCAGTTCATCGGAAAATTTTCACTGAGCCATTTACAAAACCCCAACACGTGTTTCGCTAAACAATAGCTTCCTCAGGCATGATGATGATGATTTTAGCAAAATGACATTTTCTCCAAATTTGCTCATTTGTATTGTTTTACTGAAAATTATATTATTTTACTCAAAACTGAACATTAGTCATTTTATATGTAGTATTGATAATAAGTGGCTTGGGGAAAGTTGAAGGCACGGCTAAATATACATGTTCTGATAAATGTTTCAACCAATTCAATCCAGATCTATTTTTCAAAAGAGCAGTGTCAGGTCTTTTCTTTGAAAGACATAAGTTTAAACATACAATCATTAATAGAAATGAATATGATATAAATAAATATTCATATGAATTTATAAAGTATAAAAATACATCTCATTAACTTGAAAAGCTCGGTAAATAATATTGTATACAAAATACATAATAATATTTAAATAAAAAGTAGATCTTTATTGAAATCATTCACTAGGAATACTTTGGTAGATCATGTGAAGCACTGATAGACTGAAGAGTAAGCCTTTGAGGTTGAGGCAATAAGTAAACAAATTGGAGCGATCAATTTGAAAACTGTAAAAATCAGGAGATAGTAAAGCCTGCTGACAAAACTAAAAACATGTTTATCAATGACTCTTATACTAAATTAGGGGCATACGTGGGAACTTTTACATCATTACCAATTCTGGTTAAAAAACCAAATAGAATTTTTTGAAGTTTATACAAAATAATGCCTACACCAAATAGAGTTTTTTTAGTGTATACAAAATCATGCCTACAAATATTGACTGGAAATATTGTGCAGCCTCAAAAATTTGAATGAGCAACATTCAGGACGAATTCTCAATGATATGCATGAGAAATATTGCTTTTTCCCACTAAACACATTAATTACTTTGAATATTTCATTGTTTCTAAAAAATGTCAATAGAAAAAACTGCAGTAGTCCTGATATCGGATAAAATATTGCTGTCAAGTGGGGTAGCTTCTATTTGTGTATTAATGATAGTGATAACATCAGTTGCTTGTCGACTAAGTCTGTGAATCATTTTGAAAACTACTAAGAGTTAAGAATCGCACGTTAAAAGGTAAGCCCTCGTTAGTCCTTAGCTCGCATAAGTTTCAATTTTTGAGAGTTGTTGTTCCTAAGGGGGGGGGACTGCTGGTTACCGGAAGAACAGATTTTAACAGACAGATATCTACTTTGTATCTATTGCCACGTGTTATCATTAGAAAATTATTCAAATAATCAAGTAGAACCTCGAAACAACAAAGTAATTCCTTTAAAAACCTCCATTTAAAAAGACCCACGAAATTGAATAATCTGCAAATTCACTGACAAAATAAAAACACCTCAATCGAAATTCCAAAGAAACTAACCCAAAACCTATCTCTTCAATCAATTGCAGAACTTCACTGGAAACATAAATCCTTAATCACGACAAGATAGCTACACTCCTTCGAGCAGATCCGTTTGTGATATTGTCAAGACTGGACCATTTCTTCAGACTATTCTTTATAGATTGTTGGGTGTATTTGTCGGCCATGACCCTAGACATTGCCTCAAGTTTTTGGGCCCGATCTATACTTAGCGGCTCACTGGGGAATGTAAGATCGTTTGCTTCAGCCAAAGTACGCAAATCAAAATAGTATTTGGCGTAGACACTCGAAGGAACATTAATGTTGAATTGTAGCAGTTCAAGAAACTGCCTTTCTAGTTCGTTCATATCTTCCACTGTTATATCTTTCAATATTTGGCAGTAGTCAACGTTCCAAACTGCTTGGTCATCCCAAACTTTGGAAGCTAGTAGAATAGCACCTAAAAATACAATAGATATCTATTTGTTGATATACCAACATTGTTTTTTCATTATCTAGATTATAATATGATTTATTTCTCGTAAGTAAATATGAAGACGTAAAAAACTATTTTCTGTCCTAGGATTAACATTATTGCAAAATCAGAATGAGAAGGTGAAAAAATAAATGTATTTTAATGAGGTGAACCCCAAGAGTTGAAAGGTTTTGTTATGCATATGAAAATGTGTGAAATGTCATCTTTTTTATGAGGCAATTTTTTAACTTTAGTTTATACATTACACTCATTTGCATTCAAAATAAAATAGTAGTTTTGTAATGTTTATTTTTGATGTTTGGAGAATAATTTCTAAAGTAGATGAACAAAGACATTTTCATTAAGAGACAGTGTTAAATTATTTAGGAGATACCAACAACTTTTTGGAAATTTGTAGCTGCTTGAATATACACTAAAAATTACTATTATTACTACTAGACCATATATATATAATTAGATTCAACTGACAAATATCACCTGTTTGACAAAAAATTATTCTGAAATCAAAACCATTCGGTAAATGTTTTTTCAAAAGTTCACGCTAGTTTTTGAAAAACTTTTCAAGGGTTTTACGTATTTATGTCTGCTGATCCTGTAGCTGAAATCAAAACTTGTCATTGAGTTCTAGCACTCAAAAGTTGAAAAATCGATTATTACAGAAACTTGCTTTCTGTAATAACTTCTGTGACTTATAAATGATACCTTCTTTTCACAATCACTTGCTGCAACCCTTTATTCACTTTCCTCTTTCTTTCCATACAAAATATTAGATTTCATCAAAATTGTACCTTTTCCAGAAAACTGTATCATAATTTGCTAAAAACCAGAGCCCTGTCTCATATTTGTATCCATTTTCAATATATTCAGACATACTTTCTGTAAAATCAGTACTTGCAGTAGCAGCAATCACTTTTATTGGGTCCATTCTCCACTGTCTGCCGTTTCATTCAATGTTGTCTATCTACGATGCATTCCTCTCTGAAGCTGCATTCTCTATATAGCATGCTGATATTGCCAACAAATGAAAACTCTAGCAAATGCAATTATATCATTCAGAACACGATTCCAAAAAGTCGCTATTTTGGTTAAAACAGAAGTTTTTAATTCCACGAAAATATTTTACATATGTGGATAGAGATTACAGCATGCGATCAGAAAAAAAAGGTATCATTATATGAGTTTGGAAACAAGTTCCCGAAATAGTCGATTCAAAATCTACTGTGTCATCAAAATGAATATTTAGCTGAAATATCACCTACCTAAAACTATTCTTTTCCAATTAGATGGTTGAATATCTAATTCAGAGTAAGTTAACAGTCTTTCTAGATACACTAAAGTAATAATGGCACATTCAGCAGTCAACTGCGCAGCGTTGAATAAAGTCCTTACGAATTTGTAAATTTGTTTGTGTTCAGGGTTGTATTTGTCGTAATCATCGCCCACCCCTTCCCGTGTGAGAGGGTGCAATTTCTCATCAAATATTTCAATCTGCCTGTGAGAATCTCTGTTTTTGATATGGTAATAAATAGCTAGAGCAACACATTTGACTGTATTCTTCAAATTGGGTTGAGACACAGTACTATCATCTAGATATATCGTAGAACATGAACTACTTTTTTTTAAAGGCCTCATGTCTGCTATTTGATGTTGGCTCTTTCTTCTTATCATACCGTTTTCTATTGCTGTTTTGGATCTTTCAATGAATATTGTCTTGGCCATGGGGTCCTGAGAAGGATCAGCTTCCCCATCATCGCCTTCCCTTTCACTAATATGCTGTAGATTGTTATGGCTTATTTCTCCTTCATGCAATGTGTCTTCAATAGGAATTATTACTCTCTCTCTGTGGCTGCTCTCAGGACTAGAGAAAGAACAGCAACTGTTTTTATTTCCCATTTTGTCGTTGGAACCTCCAACTTTCAACTGTTTTTCCTACACCAAGATATTTTGTGTGTTTGAAAAAGTGAGGTTTCACTCATATTTTTATCGAAGGCCACCGAATTTTTCCAATATTGGTTCATTAATTATCTAAAAACAATATACATCTTATCAGGATTTATTATCACAATAATGATAATATATCAAAAACAGAATTCCGCACGCACACCCACTTTTAAAATCGGTCAACTCGTTTTTCAAGAAGCCGGTATACTCTTAGCAAAAAACCATTCAGGAAATATGTAATGCTCTTCCACTTTCAAACTGATATTTCATTTACAATTATCCAAAAAGGATCATATCGAGATAAAATAATTTGAATTCATGTGAAAAATTAATAGTTATTTTTCATAGAAATTTGATCATCTGTCAAGTAAAAATGTTTTTAGGATTAGATATTTTGAGCAATACCAACCGAAAGCAAGTAAGACAAAATTGTCACTAATATATTATCACAGAATTCTGTGATATTATTATCGATTATCGCATAGCGTGTACAGAAAATTATAACTTTTGTAATCTCTCAGCGCACCATTTCGCGCTGAGAGGTTCGCAAGCCGATTCATCTTCAAAAGTGATAGTTAACATTGACGAATCATGAGTTGACGTATCAAAAATGAAAATAGGTTTGTAAAGCATGTTATTAACACAGACTATCTGCGCTATTAAGTTGTCGGTTCTGATACTATAGCATCGACATTGACATAACCTTATGTAGGTTATGTCGGTGTACCATCGTTATCAATTCTGATAAGTCAACTGTCAGTTCTGATACATCAACTGTCAGTTCTGATACATCAACTGTCAGTTTTGATACGTCAACTCTCAGAGCGTCAACTACTCAGAGTAGTTACTCTGAGGTCAACTATCATTTCTGGTGTGTTAACTGTCAGTGAACATCAATTACTCAGAAATCGTTCACTGTCATGTCACCTGTGCCCTTGTCTCATTACAAAAGACTGATTCTAGAACAGCCCTATAGGGGTTTTATTCTTGAATCTTCGTGTTTAAAATAATATTGACGTTTAGAATGTGGCGATAACAATAGGGAAGTGGCTGGGATAAGATGATACCAAATCAGATTCCGATTCTATTTCAAAAAATTCTTAATCCTTAGGATATTGATGACGGGACTATCTTATGATAACTTAATAAGATTATAGAACATTTCAATCATTTCATTTAATTTGAACTCTGAAGTGAACAGGATACATGATTGCATGGTTTCAGGTGACTGGTACGTGAACTACCGTGTATCTCAGTCAAACCAGCCGGTTAATAAAACATTTATCTTCAAATTTGGGTAACATTTCTTATATGACTGAAAAACTAATCGTGGCATTTATTTTTGTCTCTTGGCATTAAAAACATTTCTGATACTGTCACAATCTAAGCGACATGTGACCCACTATATTCATTGTAATATTGCATGTATCGTCTTTTAGCATCCTAACATCATTTTATGCCTACCCATTAACGATATTGCGCTTAGAATGTGAAAATGTTTTCAACACATTTTTCGCCTCTTTATAAATAACTTTAATATTTTTGAAGATTAACGAAAGTTTAAAAGTTATTACTAAAGATATATTCAAGTTGTTACTCGAGATAACCTTCGTACTTGAAATAGACAGATCTTCGATTCAAGTATTTTCACTTTACAATTTACTCTCGTTACTTATGATCAATGGTAGTAAGAGTCATTTTTTGACGTTTGCGAAATGGGCTGACGGTAATGTAGGGCCCAGTTTTGTTAGCAAAACATTTCCCTGTTTATAAAAGGCCCAGTTATGAAATGGCGGATGGATAGCATTGTATTGTCAAATAAAGTTGTGAATTAAAATTTATTTAAAACAACAAATAAATTTCGGGTCTAATGCCTCGTTATATCATGAAACGCAATTTATCGATTTCATTAACGTGTAAAATATTTAATGGCAAATTTAACATGGGGTGAACTATTGACTAATTTGTTTCAAAGCTTTGTTGTGTGTATAAATTCTCATCTAAAAAACTAAAAACAAAACGGGTTAATGCTCTCGATTTATTTACGTAATGGAAATAGACGTTACTCCAGATGGTGACTCGGAGAAAAGTGGATGTAATTCAAGTCATGAAGATGAAGTTGTTGATAGTTCTAGTGCCAATTCTCAAAATGTAAGCAATATAAATCTCAGTAATATAACTAGTAACAAGGAGCATGACAGAGCTAGTGGCAACAATAAGAAAAACATCAAACATGCACTACGACAACAAGCTAAACGTAGACGAAAAAATACAACAATCGCTTCTGGCATTTCCAACTCTTTACCCCGAATAATTGTTAAGCCTCTACCTCCTCAAGTAGTTGAAGAACCAACTACAACCATAGTGCCTACGAGTCGAACACCAACTATGAGAGAAGTTCTTGCTTCTATACCTGGATTCAACATGAAACCTAGAAAACGTACTAACAAAAAACTCTCAACTGCTGCACAACTAGAACAAACAAAAGAGGGTTGCATTGATCTGGAGACCCCAGATTCTATATTGGTGAACACTAACCTACGTCATCTTCTCAATAAGGCTACCTTTGCAGCATTACCTTTATTGTACCAAAATAAACTGGTGCAGTTGTTACCCAGTGTTGACAGGCATATAGCAAGTAATTCAGCAGATCCCAATGCCATAGAGATCAACTCAGGCTTGAACAATGAGTTTTTTGCTAGAGCGTGCTTGGAGTGGCAGGATAGGCTTGCAGAGGGAGAGTTTACACCTGAAAATCAACAGAAATTGAAATTGGAAGCAGATAAGGAAAGGAATAAAGTGGATCCTTGGAAGATAAAACATTTTGAACCTATTTGGGGAGATCGTTCCCTAGTAACAGATCCATCTTCATCTTCAACTGTTTTGAATAGTTCCTTATCCTCAAATACTTCACGACCTCCCATAAAAACCACGATAAAGCTCAGACCATCCACAACCAATTTAACAAAACAAAGTAAGTCTTCAGCTCCCCCTCCTATGAAACGATTACGAACCGTAGGTGCTATGACTCGTTCGTGTACGAGCATGAAGGTTTCAGAGTTAGTTACTCCTGTTGAGAATGTGAACAATAAAATACCGATTCCTGACTTGTTGCCGATCAAGCAAATGAAACAAGTACAAAAGGAAGAAGCCCCATTTAAGTCTGAAAGTACTATTATTAATGTAGGTTTAGAAATACCAACAGTTAGTGATAATATTGTAGAACTTCAGGAAAAATGTATTGTTAATATAAGTGATACTATACTAGAGAATAATGAGGAGACAATCATTATATGTTCTTCAAAGCCTGAAAAGCGACAACGTTCACCGAGTTCTGAATCAGAACAAATTACATCAAAACGTAAAACACCTAGCCCCCAAATCCAGAACACTTTACCTGCTCCTGTACCAATGGACATTAGTGAGACAGAAAAGTTATTTATTGAAGAAATTCAAGAGGTAGTTGGTGAGGAAGCCAGCGATGATGATAAAGCAAGTGAAGTTGTATCAGAAGCGCCAACTATCGAAGATGATGCAGGATATGATTATGAAAAAGACAAGATTTTAGATGAGAATAGTAGTAGTTCTAGCTGTATTACAGCACACAACATTGAAGAAAACTCCAGTAACGAAACTATTGAAACTGTAGACTCCCTACAGCTTCATGTTGATTACAAAGAAGATGTCAATCAAACAGATGAAACATCTTCTACCACAACCACTACTGATGTGAAATCAGAACAAGAAGACCAAGAAGAAGAAGAAGAACAGGAAGAACCCGGGGAGCAAGAGGAATCTATGACATCTACTCCAGATATGTTTCACATGGCTCCCATGGAGACCGATCCTCTTCAAATAACTGAAAGTGATAATACAGAGTCAAATACAGAGGAAAAACACACCTATAGCCTTGCAGTTGAAGAAATTCATGACCATGAACCAGAGGTAGAGAATGTTGTTGAAACTCAGACAGTTGAAGTCAATGGAGACATTGGTGATATACACGACATTGTAGAACAGCCATCTAAAGAAATCATTGGGGAGACTTTTCAGGTATTACCCAATACTTTAATTCTGCAAGAAGAGTCCATGGACATGGACAAACCCTCGTGTTCTGAACCGTGCGAAGATGGTAACTGTTTGGTAGGCTCTGCTGAAAAACTAGAAGGAAGTATAGAAGAATGTGATAGGGTGATATCCCACTTCAGTGAAACAAGCTTTGAGAATGATAGATTTCTCGATGCCGAGAATTATGTTTTGGAATCTGGGCAAATTACGCCTTTGGAGAAAATTGAAAAGGATAGGTCAGAAGTTGATATTCAGGCTACTTTGTTTGACACTGCAGGTGAGAATTATTTCTGATTAAAGTTATTCCTTTAAGTTGTGTATCATTTTTCTAGTTCTGTTAACAAATAATGATTATCAACAACTTACATTGAAGAGATCTAAAACAGATTCATAAAAACATGGTATTCACGAACATGACGAACTTCAATAATTCTTTCTTTAGACTGAGTTTTCCAAAATTCTAGGCATTTCCGAAACAATCTGTTGTAAGAACTCGTTTAGAAAAAAACTACCAATTTGTCAGAAACAAATTTTTTTATAGTTGAGGATAACTTTCTGTCTTCAGACTTGTTTTGATTTCTGTCAAGAGTACTGGTACATGGGATGCTTCTTTGCCGCTTGGGGCTTTGCTCACAAGACGGAGCTGTTACTAGTTAACTATCTTTCTCTCAGAAGAAGGTTTCATACATGCAGTCGAGCTGCATTGAAATTAATCGAGTACCAAGCACACTGCTGTTTCTCGATTGATTTCAGCATGGTCCTGCTGCTGGATGGACGAGTGACATCTGCAAGACTAATCTCTGTGAGATATCATGCAATAATCCAAGTGTCTGTTGGTTATAAATCAATGTCCAGCATGGTATATGTCGGAGAAGTAGTTGTTTTCCGGCAGGCATGAACCTACTGTGTAGGTGAGTTGGGAGAAATGAATATTTCAAGATTTTGTTTCAAAATATCTTCATTTCAGTAAGATACAATAAAATCCAATATATACAATAATAAAAATAACACACATTGTAATGAACAAATATTCACATGTACAAATATACCAGTACATACTACTACATAAATACTACATAATACGTATCACACTAGACAGAAAGAAGATTCACCACACCCTATCGAGGCTTATCAGAAAATGGGATCATCAACAATTCTGTAGTTAATTGAATCAATCAGATCTGTGTAAATATAACGCAGATTATCTTGTGTTTAGTGGAGTATTTATCAATTTTTATTTAACTTCTCTGGACAATTAATCTAAACACATTGAAATAATATAATCAGTCTACAAGTCTACATACTCACTTTTCTATAGTCCATACTGTAATTTCCAATATTTTTATTTATTGCACCACATGATGATACGATACCTAATTGGCCTTTTTTATCACAGTCTTGCAGATGTAAAGACCCCACAAACATTATAACAAAAACAATCCTACACCTCACTCACTAGCAAGTATCGAGTTACCAATATTTACAAAACAAAATAATTTATAGCATAACATTTCTGAACATTGTTATGCATTCTAAATGACTGCACTTTCTGTTAACAGCTCCTGAAGAATGGGGAATGGTTGGTTCCACTACCGAAAAATTACTTCAAGTGCCAGCGTTGCACAACCTGGAAACCAGTGTGTCTACTGTCATCGAGAGCAGCGAGAACAAACTGGAAGAACATGTACAGGTCATTCCGATGCAAGAGGAGTTGGAGGTTAAATTAGAGCAAGGAAGATTTCCAGTAGTGATCAACGATTGGCCTTATGTTGATATGGATTCTGATATGGTGGCGGCAGCTTTAGGAAATACTGATAGTGAGACGAGTAACAAGGAATCAGAGAAACAGGTAACTATATTATTGGCACATTGAATCTTGTAATTACTTGTAATATTTGATAACCTCTTATCAAAGTAGATTAACAGTCAGTCAGTTAGAATATTATAATGGAATACGATTTCAAATATCCCACTTGAAGTTACAAAAATAAATTAACAAAGAAGTTTCCCTATCAAATAAAGATATCCATAACAATCTTGATGTGATGTAAACAATGGTTGACAAATGGTTAGTTATGTTTGCCAACAAATCGTTTAGCTCCCAAGCAAAGCCATGCTGAATTAGGGGTCATTTGATGTCTCTTGGAAATTTATGATTTTCCTTGAGTTGAAGATAACAGCCCAAGTTGTCACTAGTGGGTGGTGTAAGTAAAAATCTTGAAAAAGTGGGAGCAATATCTCAAGTGGGGAGATAATTTGCTTGTAGGGCTTTCATAAATTCAGGTACTTACTGTAACTGGGGGTTTTCCTAACCAAACGCCTCACAGGAAGAATGGTACAGAAAATAGGAAATAATTTTCATTTTCAGAAGATACCTCCATAAATTAATTAGTCATACCGTATAAATTAGTTGGTTTATGACAAGGTCATGGCCAGGGGGGGCCCGGACAGAATTTGCCCATAAAAAGTCTAGAAGGGGCTTGATTTCATATTGTGAATTATCTGAACTAGAAATTTGAGGTTTTTAATTTTTAAAAACGAATATGTTAGTAAGTTTTTTTTCAGTACAGGACTTTCACTGTGCCAATGTAATGGTAATTAATTAAATTTGAATTAGCAGGTCTTTTTTATTGTGACCCCATCCCCCCCGAAACAAAAATCTGGGCACGGCCTTTGTTTATAAGGTTGGTTTGAAGGCTTTGAGTTTTTCATTTTTGTGATACTCGTTAGTGTGGATGTTTCTGAAACTTTTAGATTGTTCAATGCTGGTTTTCTGCAAATCAATCAAATTATGTTGGACATTTCAAAAGAGGGAACCAAATCATTTATTATATTTGAGTTACAGTTTTTTATAATGATTGAGTTGCTGTTTTTATTTGTAGAACTGCAGCAATGTTTTCCTCGTGATAAGCTTTTCTTAATGATTTTGATGTGATGTTTCAAATACTGTTGTAGAATAAAGGCTCATGCAATTTGCTCTTTTATTTCTGTGTTGTTTTTTTCTGACAGGCAATTTTTTGAATTCTAATAAACTTGAGCTTTAGAATGGCTAAATTAAGTCTTCCTTTCAAATAGCTGCAAAGTGACAATTGTTCAAGCAGTATCAATAAACTTTTATTACATGGTCATTTATATCTAGATTCAAAGATTTTTTTATTTTTCTTGGTGATGGAAACAATTGTGTCTCCTATTATTCTCAATTGAAAATAGCAATGCTTTTTTGAAGGCTACTACAAAAACGTCTGTCCTGTATTCATCTGTTGACAAGATTTCTCTGTTGGTATGTAGATGGTAATAGTTTCTTGATTTGGTACCAGCAGTCTTTGTACGGTAGCATATGTATTTTCTCTCAGCCTTCAACCATCCTTATTCTCTATATTGCATAATGAGATTGTGTTCAACTTCCTTCTCAGTTGTGGATTTTGGTTCAGTTTGGGTGACTGTTGCTGGTCATACTCTCCAAGATTTTTTGTTTAATGCATTGCTGTGGTCTGAATCAATATTTGGGTTGGCTTGAATTAATTCTATCAAGTTTGCAATAACGTTTTCCATGTTGCATCTGTTAGTAGTTTTGTATTAGTTATACATAGGTCTAAGATAAACTCTAAAGCAAGATCAGCTGATCCAAGATCTGCATATGCTTCTATCCCAGATTCATTTTCAAATCACTTCACAGGATAAGATCAGGACTACTGTTAGAATTATTTCCTATTGAGTGTTTTTAAATCTCGAACATATAATTTTGTTGATTTTTGATAAATTGAAATATTATTACTTTTTGCAGAGTACCAGTTACCCGGAATACACGAGTAACCAGGTAAAACTAGAATTGGAGGTCACTCTGACCCCAGAAATTGTCAGCTCAGACAGCACAATCACCAGCACTGTAAACACTAGCAGCAGTGGTTCAAACACTTCATTAGTCACACCCTCTGTGAGCAAACCCATCACTACAGTGATACCTCCTACCACAATCGTTTGTCTCCCTTCTTCTGCCACGACAGCAACCATGATGAATTCTGTGGTGAACGATGCAACCCAGTGTGCTGCATTACCAAGACCTGGTATGGTACAAAGCTCCAGCTCCTTACCTTTGTTATCGTTGAGTACCAGTCAGCCTATCAGAGCTTTGTCTGCTCACAGCAAAACAAAACCAAAGACTTCTCAAGGATCATCAGGAGGGAATCGCAACAGAGGCAGTAATAAGCCTCCTCCTGGTGCAGTGAATCTCGAAAGGAGCTACCAGATATGTCAGGCTGTAATTCAAAACAGTCCGAACAGGGACCAGCTGAGATGTCAGCTAAAGCCGCCTCCAAGCTTGTTGGCTTCTGTTCAGGTTAACAACGGCAAAAAGACGGAGAGCAATAGGTGAGTTTTGATTTAATTTTTGAACATTCTGCATCAGGTTCTGATTTGATCATATCGAAACATTTACTAGGCAAACCCAGTACAGTTCGGTGACATCGTCCAGAGGTTCTAACAAACCGTTCACACCGCCTCTGCCAGCACCTGGGGGCTATCAGATGGTGCAGGGGGGCAATGGAATTAAAGGAATTTCACAGAAGAACAGAACCATTCCTTATTCACACCAAAGACAGCCAAGTCCACCAGTAGTTGTAAGGCATGTCTTTACTTCTGGGCAGGGCATTCCAGTAACAATGGCCGTTCTGCCACAAGCTCCGGCACTAAGTCCAGAGGTGAGTTATTTGATGAAAAAATGTTGTTTGTATTTGGTGTTAACACTATGTTTCGTACTAATGTAACAATAAAACTTCCTGATATGGTTATAGCATAGGATTTCCTACTGTATAAATGAATCATCAAGAGAATTGATAGAGAAATTAGAGAAAGTGCACACCAATTGATTTTTTTAAATTAGGTACATTGAGATTTCTCAAACAAGGTTGAATGAAGGGAACAAAGTAGATGGGATATGTTATATACTTCTAGAGTATTGCTCTGTATACAGGGTGATTCAAAAGTACTTTGACAAACTTCAGGAGGTGATTCCTCACAATACCTTCAGTAACTACCGATTCAATGTTATTTACATAGGGTATAAAAAGTAGAGGACCCATTATTGAACCTTGTGACACACCCATACTTTGATTCAGAAATTCTTATTAGTGACTCCAGTTCAAATAAAAGTAATGCAATGTTTTTCCTCTGTAGGTGGTAGATGGCCAAAATCAAGTAGGCACTGTGGGTCAATACATCCTGGTCCAAAGGGCGGGCATTAATGACCACCACAGTACTCCTCGTTCGTCCAGCGCACCCCCCTCTCAACAACAAATGAGCAACGCCATAAATACTGGAAGCGGCAGCGTTCCCCAGATAGTTTCAGTAGGCGCCAGAGGCCGCCCGGCTAGCGTAGAAGTCGACCATCCATCGCTGCAGAATCAGCCCTGCAACGATTTCGTAGTTCAATGCCCCAACCCTGGCACGCAGGCGGTCACGAGGCGGCAACGACTACCTCCGGGGGTGGTGTATGGCGACGTGAGCGTCGACAGTCCTTTGCACAACTATACGATAATAGGAGAAAATGTGATGGTGGATCATCCCGCGGCAGCCATGCAGAGTCAGATGATGCTGCAGAAGACCAGCAAGGCTGGCGACTCGTGCGCTTGCAGCTTGAAAGCTATGGTGGTATGCAAGAAATGTGGAGCTTTCTGCCACGACGATTGCATAGGACCTAATAAATTGTGTCGTACTTGCTTTATTCGGTAGGCTATTTGTAAGTTGTTTTCTGGTTTTGCTTGCTGGTAGGCAATGATTTTGGCCGTTATGGGGTGGGAAGGTTTGATCTTAGAAAAATAGTCTGTAGGGCAAAGATTTCGATTGTGGATTTTGAAAATTGTGAGCAACGGTTGCTTTTGAAAGTTTTTTATTTATAAGAATTTATCCTATTCTAGCAAAAATGGAACTGTTGAATGTTAGTTTTTCAGACCTCCAGTGTCTAAAAAACAAGTTACTTCACGACATATCGTTTATGGATATTGATACTAACAATCAAAACATAGTGAAGTGATTCCTTTTTTTTGACGACAGAAACATTGCCAACAACTTCGAAAGAAACGTGAAGTTTTCAGTTGTACAAGTTGTGAATATTGTAATAATTATTTATCAGGTTTGTAATGGAACCTTTACTCCGTTTTGTTTATAAAGAAGCATATAATTCCATGCTGCAAAGCTACAAAACTATAATATAATATTTAATATCCTTTATTGCCATATAAATCTACAATGGACAGGGCAACTATTGTTAGTAAAATATAATTTGTCTTTAAGGAATTCTTATTCCTTCATTTTTTCTAGGTTTTCAACCTTCTGAAGTATTAAAAATACATGAAACTAGATCAACAGAGAATCTTTCGAAGTTTAATGGAGGCTGAGATGAAAAGTTTGTCCCAAAAAGGTACTGCTTAATATAAACCTTTGTGTCAAATTAGTCAGTACCTTTTTTTTGAACTTTGTCTATGAATTAAACGAATGTATTGAAAAGTAAATATATATATTTCCAACGTAGGCATTTTCAACTAATAATTTTTTGTTTTGAGTCCGGAAAGGAATTATTTTCCTAAATGTTAGCAATTTGAAGAAAGCCAAATATAAAAAAAAATTACCCGTTTCTTTTATTAATTAAACCGTTTATATTATGCAGTAGCTTTTTGGGATTATCTTTTCCGTTTGCTCTTTATTATCTAGATTTTAGATTCATTTATTTTTTAGATTGGGGAAGGTTTAAAACCTGAAAAGCATCAAAGAACATAATTTGCCTCTTGATAATTTAGTCATGTACATTCAATAAGTTCAGAAAAAGGTTTTATTTTGAATAGAATATTACATAGTTATGATAATCTGTTGGAAAACTCTTCTAGATATGATGCAATTTTTTTTCAAAAAATCTCACTTCAACTCTTTCTTCTTCGCTTTCTCAAATTTGATTATTTTCATTACGCATTCAATATTTATTCATTATAACTGTAGAGGAAAAGGTGAATTTCAAAATTCATTCATATATTTCAATTTTTTCAGAAAAGTGTATGAGTCATGTTTGATAGTGAACAGTAAAATTTTTTATTGATATGCTCATGACATACATATAATCTTATTCTGGAGTAATTTTCGAAAGGGAGTCTTGGGTTTGAATTGTTGACATGTCGTTTACTTGAAAACATCTGATAGTTATTCAGGGTAGGTCATTATAAATATGTACAATAACGATTATAAAAATGCATTCATGATATTTCTCAAATTAGTAAATTCGAAGTGAACAATGAGTGGTTAAATATTGAAGTCATTGCTCTTGTTGTAACGATTCAACAATTCCATTATATTAAAGAATTTAAAGAATGATGGAAAGAAATACTTAGAATATTTATTTTTTATTAAAACAATACTGCTCGTATTGACAAATAGTCGTAGAAGTTACTGCTTAAAAATCACTCAAATTAGTAACATTGACTCTCCTACAAAAAAATGTCTTTGAAAAAATACGAATCCATTGAAATAATACCTCAGTGAGGATGACTTCAGATGTTTTCATTGCAAAACTTGTTTTATTATTTCGACTTACCTTGCTTGTATATACATTTTGGTGTTTTATAAAAAGAAAATGAGAACAGTCCCATTTCTATACTTTATATATGTTTTATTTATTCGAAAAAGTTCCCATCACTGTCATAATCATTGGTGTAAAAATATGTAAATATTAGTTTTAATGGAAGTGAGGGCCTACCAGCAAATAAAACTATTACTCGTACTATGGTATTTGAAGATGCAACTTGGTTGATCGTGATTTTGAATAGTTTAATAAAATGTCTGATGTGGATCGAAAATGACAAATCCTAATCTGATGAATTTCGACCAAATCTCAGTGCCGTCAGTCTTTCAGTCTAGTTTATACTTTGTAATTTTGAAATGTTTTCAACATTTCACTACTTGTACGTTTTGAAATAGAGCATTAGCAGAACTGAATATTGAAAATGAGTTTCATAAAGGTTTTGTTTCTCTATTGCTCCGAAGAAATTGTGAGTCGGTTTGTTTGTCGTTTAGTTTGCCATTTTCGACCCATTTCAGACGATGTAAGCTTTTTAAAAAAATTACGTCAAAATACTCGTTTAATACAGGTTTTATTTTTTTATTTATTCACGATATTTCGCGACATATCACTAGCATTATTCTTTTCACTTGTTTCACAACCTATTTATTTCTCATCTGCTAGAAGTCTTCCAAGCATTTTATATTAGATGAAAATTGGATCTGCTTGAAATTATAATTTCGTTTCGATACTTTTTCACAAATGTACTACCTCAGGTAATTGTCGTATACTTTTTCATTTTTGCTAAAAGATTTTACAGTTTTTCTAGTGTGCAATAACGAGATTTTTTCTATCTAAGATTACACAGCAGATTTTATACTGTTGAACTTTATGTGAGGTCTGAGATGACAAATTTGGACGTTTCTATGCCTCTACTGTTACTTGTGTTTGTACATTCCCGTTTGAAAAAATTATTTGAATATTTCTATCTGATGTCTGGTTGCATGATTTTATGAATAAAAAATAGTTGGGATAGTAAAGAAACCTCTAAGTTGGGAAGTGTATACAATAAATGGGCCAATCACAAGTTTCGACTCTGCCATTTTCTCAGAATATTTTTGAAATATTTAAATAAATTGAAGTATACTATTTGTTGCAACTTCTGAGTGGTGAATTTGTGGGCAACGAAGTGACTTGTAGCATTTTTCTGAACGGGGTATAATGGCCCCTGTGTTATATTTTTGAAGTACAATTTTGTAGCATTCTATCGTTGGAAAATTATTGGATAAAATTCTTCAAACAATCCATTTATTTTATTCTCAATGTGCTTATGAAGTTATACATTTTACTAATCAAAACGTGTCACACAGGAAGTTGAGAATGCTTTAGCATTCTCAACTTTCTGAATTCACTCAGTCAACAATTTGCTTTTCAGTGGCTTTGAAAGAGCCTTATATCATTTCATGTAATGTACCTCATGTTCACGGTATTTTAAAGACACAGAGCTTGAAAACTGGGGTACGACTACAATAAAAGGAAAATTCACTTCAGTTGCCTCCCACTTTCAGCTTTGGTAGGTTTTCCATAATGAGTAAATTTCAACATGCATATATTTATCAAATATATATTCTTAAAATAATCAGGAGAAAATAAACTTGGGCGGTAGTAAATATTTTTAAACGCTTGATGGAAAAGTCAGTTGCTAGCAAAATATAGTATACTTCAACCCACGACATTTCTATATTTTCAAGTATTTAAAACACAGCATTTAAATATTTTCTAACAGGTATCAGTTTTTTTTTGGGATTCAATTTCAATTGGTTGGTTAATGGGGGATGGTTATTTTTCAATTTCTTTCATCAGTTTGCTGTAAATCAGTTCGAACTCGCCCCTATGACTTTAACATCTCTTCTGGTATCAATTAAGAAAATTGGTGGTTCACACGGTGTTACAAACTGTATTGATCAAACCAAAAATATTTTTTGTAGCATTTCCAGTTTTACGAAAAATTATGCCAACTTAGGTACCCAGTATACTCTTTTTTATATTCAGTACTTCATTTTACATCAAAACATCCCATTATGGTAGGAAATTACTGTGAAGGCTTCAATCACTGAAAAATGTTTGAATTGCCCCCTGAACTATGTGGAAGTCAAATCAGTTCTTCATGTGATCCCATTTGAACTACCAAATTTCCACTTTGATACCGCGAAAAACAGTAGAGTTATAGGGGCAAGCCTGAATTGGTTTACATAAACCTCATGGATATCGAAATTAAAAAAAATACTTGGAAGGAAAGTATTGCTTACCCAGTAAGTTGCAAACTTCCTGTTAATCAGTATGAAAACTGGTTAAAGAAAGTTCAAGTAGAATCAAATATCTAATGTAGAAAATGCATTAAATGTGTATGACGAACCATTTTTTCTGTTCAACATTCCTTCCAAAAATCTCATTTACTGATTTTATTTTTGTAATGATCTAAATCCTATATCATGACACATATTTTGATGAACTTGTAACACGAGAGGTAGTAGAATTGACGTTGTTTCCAAGACATTCTCATCCAATTTGATTTATCCCTGAGTCAAACTTATGCTTGTGAGCTTTTCTAGAATATATTTCTAGAATTTAGAATAAGGATGTGTATAATTATTTTTCATATAAATCTCATGTAGAGTTAAGGTCTTTTGTGTACAGTTTTTTTTACTATTTAGATTTATTATTTAAGTTCAACTACTAGTTTTGTGTACATACATAGTATCTTTCATGCAATGATTTAAAATAGACAGTACTTGTTGAAGAAGTGTGTGTGTTTCATTCACTGGTCTTGTGGTTTTGTTTGTAACCTTCAAAAGTTTTTCCAACTTCAATGTTTTCTGATGCAGAATAAATAGGATGAAACTCGAGTAGATATTTAATTAACAAGATATTTTCAAAGAGTGTTTAGGGATGTTGCAGTACTGATTGAATAATAATGGTTCATTTCGACTATACTGTAAAAATTACATTCTGTAAAGTGCATTTAGCCCATGATAACGTATGATTTTTCAGCACGAGTCAAAACCTTCCTTGAAAAATATGTCATTCAAATGAACTTTTTATTTTGTTTTGACATTTACACGATATATGTTTTCTCCTGTTGAAAATACTATTTTTACTATATCTTTTAATATAGACTGAGGTCCTAAAGTATCGGATAAATTCATTTTCTATGTAATTATGAATGCAAATGAAAAATCCTGAAACTGGCCAATTTTTATATATCTGTTTAAAATCTGTTTTTCCGTTAACCAGCTGTCGCACCCCTACGAATTACAACCCTCAGAAGTCGAAACTTGTGCGAGCTAAGGATTAACGAGGTCTTACCTTTTAACGTGTGATTCCTAACACGGGTTGGACGATAGCAAGTGAAGATCGATCGTTCAGACTAGGGCTTGAACCACCACCCAACACGGCAGTCAATTCGAGTGAGTGAATAAAGCACTCACGCCGATCCTCTTGGCTACCGACCGACCTTACACTTTCACGAAGAAATTATTCAACACCTAAAGGGTAATGGCTATCCCTGTAATAACTTTGAATGAAAAAGGGAAGCGTGTGATACCGCGTTTTAACGGGTTTTAAATTGTAAAATTAGGTATAATTGTAAAATTAGGCTTAATATATTAAGCATTGAATACAGTGCATTTCTTTAATGTCTCCCCCTCATTTTATTTTTTGAACGGGTCAACTCAAAAAAATGAAATTTGGGATAATGAAATTAATGCATGAATACTTTATTTTGAAGCGAGATTGACAGATGAAACTTTCAAGATGGCGACTGAAAGGGTTTTGTGGCACATCATTTTGAAGCTCCTGACTAATATTTCACAACCCTAGAATATGAAGTCAATATCTTCACCTACTGCAAAATGGCGAAACATTTAATAATTTCCTGAAGACAAACACATTAATATCGATATTTCTAGAAGTATTCCTTTTTATCTACCATATGGCAATTCCAACAACCCGATAAGGTTTGTAAGTTATTTTTTGTTTATAAAAACGACAAAAAATGTCAGTAAGACAATGAACATCATTGTTCAGTTAGAATGTTCTCATTTAGTTTTCGGTTTTACTAGTAGAAAGGTACCACGTCAACAATCTCTAAAATGGTCAATTCTCGTCCATTGGAAGAAAAAATTGAAGCGATTTTTATTTACTGTGCGATGCGTAACTTTCACGAGACCAAAAGAATTTTCAATGAACGTTTTCCGAATCGTCCTATCTGTTGAAAATATTTGGTAGTAGAACGAGATGGTAGTAGAACCTGAACCGTCTACTTATTCTGTCGCGAATGTTTGTGAGGTGTCTCCTTCTACTGTGTGGAGACTTTTGAAAAGAAAGAACAGAATTGCATTGCAAGGCATCCTACCTATCTCCTTAATATTTGTTTTAGTGACGAATGTACATTTTTAAAACGAAAATATTCACAGACAAAATTGCCGTTATTGGAGTGACACCAACCCTCACGTTTTCTGGGTAACGCATACCCAATATCCAGAAAAAATTAACGTTTGGGCAGGAATATTGGAAAATCATATTGTAGGACCTCTATTTATTGATCAAAATTCAACAGGGGAACTGTATTGGATTATGCTGTAAACTACTGTTGACCCTCTCATCACTGAAATCGTCGAAGCGAATCCTAATGAATTCGATATGGATATTGTACTACTTTTCCCGGTCGTTGGATTGGCCGTCGAGGTCCTACCGAATGGCCAGCCCGCTCGTCAGATTTGACATCTTTGGACTTTTTTTATGGGGCTATTTGAAGCAAAAGGTGTACGAAACTGAACCTGCTTCAATATTGGATATACGGCAGAGAATAATAAATATTTGTGGATATATTGACGTTACTGTGTTCGAAAATGTTCGGCGTGAAATATCGGATAGGCTGTTCATATGTCAAGAAGTTCAAGCCAACCATTTCGAGCATCTTCTGAAGTGATCTCAAGCTTATTACCTCATATTATGTAGTTAAATGTAGAAATAGAAATATATTTATTTGAAATAGATATCCTAATATACATAAATATTATACAAATATACCTATCAGTTATTAAACAGAATTACAAAAAAACTGAAATATATAAGACCCGAGAATACCTTGTATCGTATTTGTGTATCTGATGGTTATATGTAATAAACTCATTGAAGTAATGTGGTGCTTTTCCAGTGAGTATTTTGAATATGAATATCATAGAAAAATATTGTAATCTATCTTTTACTGTCATCCAATTCAGAATATTAATCATTGATAATATAGGAGTATATTTATGACATTTTAATAACAAGCGTATTCCTCTGTTTTGTAATTTTTGTAGAGTAGAGATAGAATTACCGTCTAGTAATGATATCAAAGTAGCATAGTAATCAAATTGTGGTAGGATTATTGTTTTATAAACAGTCAAATTAGATTGGAATGTTGATTGTCTACTAATTCTAGTAAAGAAAAACAATTTTTTAGAAATTTTATTACACATATACTGGAAGTGTTTTTTTATGTTTAAAGTGTTATCAACGATGAAGCCTAGGTATTTGAATTCTTTCACAATTTCTATAGTTTCGCCGTAGATCTCAATGTTAATGGAGTTGATATCAATTAAGTTATATTTATATTGTGTTGTCAATATCATAGCTTTCGTTTTAGTGGTATTCAGTTTGAGTTTGTTTATGTTCAAGAACTTGGCCACGTTTTCAAGAGTCAAATTAATTTTGCGTACAGCACATTATGAATATCAGAGTCGCTTGCTGCAATGAGAGTCTCATCTGCAAATAGGTTGATGAATTCACAGTCACTAATAAAATTTATGTCATTCAAATAAAGTATGAATAAAACAGGGCCAAGTAGACTCCCAATGCATTCAGGCAATTATTAAAAGTTCCGCCATTTTGTAGGAGTTGAAGATATTGACATTACATTCTAGGGTTGTGGATTGTGGAGCATTTGTCACAAGACCCCTCTTTCAATTTAATTTTTTCCCAGATGGCGCCTAGTCGCCAGCTTTGAAGTTTCATCTGTCAATTTCACTTCAAAATAAAGTATTCATGATTCATGCATTAATTTCATTATCCCAAATATCAATTTTTTGAGTTGACCCGTTCATAAAATAAAAGGGGGGGACATTAAAGAAATGCACTGTATGTAGAATATAGTTGGTAAAGACACGCCCGAAGAAGCCTTGTATGGCGAAACACGTGTTTTCTGGGTGCTCTATATTCGATTAATTCAACGGACGCCATTTTTACCTGGTCCTGATTGGCGAAGGTTCTACCGGTGAGAAAGTTATTGAAGTGCTTGAAAGGATGGTAGTCGGTTGGCGAAGAGTATGATTGGTGAGGAGGAATTTTGACGCTCAATTCGTTTACTTTTTGGTCGCCGATTTGTGAAATGTGCAGATGGGCGTTGTGGAGCAGAATCGGATCTCTTCTGTTGACTAGTGCCGGCTGCTCTTGGCTCAATTTTTGGTACAATTCGTCGATTTACTCACAATAGGACTCTGCTGTGATGGTTTGGCCTGGTTGCAGAAAGTTATAGTGAATCACACCAGTCGCTGGTCACCATACAGTAACTATGGTCTTTTTTGGTGAGTTTTCGCCTTTGGGAAGTGTCATAGTGGCTAATTGGGGTCCAACTACTGCCCTGAACGTCTTCTGTTGTTGTAGAGGATCCACTTTTCATCACAAGTGACGATCTGATCCAAAAAATGATCCTTTTGGTTGCGCAAAAGCAAAGAAGACGTTTTTTTTCACACCTTATGACACGCGCAAGAGTAAGTATAGTTTCAGACTTCCAATTTCCTCCTCGAATTCAATCAAAGATTCTATATACTATAATGGGAATAAATTATTCTATTATTTACATTTGGAAATGAGTTTTACAAACCTGAGAGATTAACTGCTTTGCTTCATTTAGATGATTCCGTTATTTTCAAAATGATGAAATATGAAGGATTTTGGAATTTCAGCACGGAGAAAATCTTTTTTTTCAATATAGTGCTTCATTAAGATTAGTTTGGTAATAGGGGATATATAACATTTTTTCTTCTTATCATCTAAGCTTTGCAACCTAATATGTCTCAATGACGCTCGAGTAAATGCCCATTTTGCAGCGTGGGCTCCTCTGCTATGGGGATTTACAATTTTCTTTACTCATCTTAGAAGTAACATAACCTCGTTTTTAACATCATTTGCTTACTCAACTGTGCTACAGTTCTAGAAAAGATAGAAGATAGCAGTGAAAAGGTGAAAACACGTTTTATATTTTATTCACTGCTATGTGGGTATTATGAAAGGAATATTATATGATTGAAACATTTTTATATAAGTAACAAATTTATTAGGTACCTGAAAAAGTTCGTTACTGGGAAAAGGAAGGTATGTAAAAATAAATATACAATATTATACAATCGAAAGTAATACTACTTACAAAAACTAAAATACTAATAAAAAAGGTTCAATAATTGGAAATAAACATTTCGTGTCTATATACATATGCATAATGTATGAGTATGAAAAATAAGAATGAAAGAAATATTTCTTTAATTTTTAGCTTTAATCATCCAGAAAACATGTTTTTAAATCCCTATGGTTCTTCGGATAGATGGCACTACTTATACCGCCGCTTTAGAATAAGTTAATCATACCTTAGATTATTTGAAAAAAGAACCTCAAATTTTTTTGTCGCTATTGAAACATTCTCTAATTTTTTTACGTAGCGCCATTGTGGAAAAATGAACTGCTCTTTTTTATAAAAACAATTACAAAAGATACTGAGAACGTGATGGCGGATCTCACTCGCATATGTGGCAGTTTAATTTTTCTTGTCAAGGTCTTACAAACGTATACCACGGTTGGTGGATGCTACATAATTAAGTAACTCATCGGAATCCTCGCAAACAACTGGTTTCTCGTGGTAACAAGCGACGTCGTGCCAGGCGATGCCGTCGTTGTAAACGTTGTTTAGAATGGAAAGGCAAGACTCGGTTGTTCTGTTGATGTCAAATTCCGCGTTGTCAGGCTGTTTCTGTTTTTTGTGACCTGTTTGGGACCAAGGATTGTAGCTCCATCCCGCCGGGGTACGGTTGGTAGGCTGAATCTTTTCGCGGTTAGCTGACCAGAACCAACCGAGGATGTTCTTGGGTTCGAGATCCGGACGATTTTCGCAGCCTTTGAAGTCGCATAGCCTGCCAGAAGTCCAGATGTAAGGCACGTCGTCTGAAAACATAAATGAATGGAGGTATAATTCTCTGTCCACACATAAAAAGGATAAATTACTTCGAAGCCATATATAAATCACAATGTTTTAGTTTGTGAGAAATTGGAAACAAAAAAAAGAAATATTTGGATGGAAGATGGTGAAGGGAATCTATTGAAACCACTTTTTCTCATAACAAAACCGTTCAAAACCGTGTTGATTCTGAAACCCAGTTTGAGTGGATTATTTTAGAATAAATTATAGAGAAAATCAAAGATGTACGGTTGCGAGATGATGATATTTCAGTATCTTTCGACGTTTCTACTTCATTTTTAAGTGTCCTTATATCAAAAACAATCGAATATCTGAAGTATCTTTCAGAAACAAATGAACTATGTGGTGAAGTAGTCGAAGAGTACATCCAACTGACATGAATATGAACAGAATTGCTTACAGTTCCGTAACTGTTTTGATAAGCATCATGAAAGTACGCAATAGGCAACCCGTCATCTTCTTTCGTGGCCTTAAATCAGGTAGAGTTCTGAAAAAAAAAACACGTAGGAAGACCCTCTTGAACAGAGCGAACCTCGGCTCAGAATAATTGAAGGGCTACTCACTGGACACTGTTCAATTAGAGGACATGCATAACAGGGACTTTAATAGTGGGCAATGCAAAAAGTGCTAATTTGAGGCCTAGATCACAGGAGCCAAGCAAGTTTTGGACAACCCAAATTATGTCCGGAAGAATATGACAAATATCCAACAAAGGAACCTATACCAACTGGTATAGGTAGTACTGTAATAATATTACTTGAATGGGTGTTATAAAAGGATGGGAAGAAGAATGTAATGAGCCCTTGAGGTTGTAGTGACTCCAGAGACTTGGAATAAATTGACGAGTCGCACGACTCCGAAATAGCAAACAAATCCAGACAGACAAGTCATTGAGAATTTTGAAGTGACACACTTACGGATCTGTTGATACATACCTTTGTGTAAACCGAAAACCTACCTGCATCACGGAATTTTGTCACCTAACTAGAAGAGACCGCTAATTCTTGTAGTACAATTGTCAAGCTATGTACTACAAGAAGGAGCAATAGCAATAGATTTAAGTTTGTAGAAAACACGTAACCTTTTGTGATTATAGTAAGAGCGTCCTATGTCAGTACTTTTGTTATGGTGAGAGAAAAGTAGTTTCAGCTTTAGCATAGTTGAATTGATGGATGTAGCCGTTACTACGTGGTAGGAAATCATAATGAAGAAAAGAAATGAAACGTTCTATGTATTTTACCACTTTTATTTATAACTAACGTTACTGCAGTTTCATTCTATACGGACATTTTCAAACTTGAACAATTATATTTCAAACTTACTTATACAATTATATAAGTTTGAAAATGTCCGTATAGGACGAAACTGCAGTAACGTTAGTTACAAATTAAAGTGGTAAAAAACATAGAAAATTCCATTTCTATTTTCTTCATTTAACATAGCATAGCATAGTTTTTTCTTGGTTATTATGTTATTAAGTTCTGGTTAAGTTGGATACAATTCATAAACTTTTGCTTTAAACTCAATGATGACTTGAATTGTATACAACTTCGCGATTCCCAAGTAATCAAAATTTAGTTTCGGGGTAGTTTTTCCAATCTGATGCAGATTTTCAGAAAATAAGGGACTTTTGAATGAACTCACAAGAGTTCATAAATTTGTTCGTTCTTAACTTGTTTAAAATAAATTCAGTTGACAAACGTGCAGGATGAAGTGAAAGTGAAATTTATAGATTTGGTATTTGGCGATGTTTATATTTAATTCGACCAGGATGATATTCTTGAAGTTTTATAGTTTTTCTATCATCAAAGTTTCTCTCAAGGTAAATCCACCAGTACCTATAACTTTCAATTTATCTGGTAGTGTTTTAATGTTTTTTATATAATCTACAGATTCATAGCGATACGACTGCTTTTTATGAGTTCGCCAAACATGAAATAAGATCAACAATATTGCGTTTCATTGAGTATATTCTGAAAATATGGTAGCTTATTGCATGAGTATGTAGAAACTGGTGTCTTTTCTAGGGCTAGTCTTGATTGATCGTAAATATCGTTGATGAATATCACGGAAATTTAAAATATTTTTGTTTCAACGAATTTGTTAAATGTAATATAGACTCTAAGATTTCATTATCTACTCAATCATAACCAAAGTAACTCTATTACTTAAAGTCTCATTGCACTTATATCTCACAATATTCATTAAACAATTCAAAACATAATTTATTACTGTTATTATTTCCCCATTAACAATTATCGTAAAATATACTGAACCTGCACTGTTCAAATCACGATCTAGCTGATCTTAGGTAATGATTCTCAAAATGTCAAAATATATAAATTATCTGATAATTGAATACTCCAGTCCGATTATAAATGCCTGCAGTTCTTTCCATGGACTCAGTAGCGTCCATTGAAAAAATATATCGATCAAAAGCTTGGATTGAGAAATGGATTTAGTAAAGATCAGTGTCTAGAGACAACATCCGCCTCTTTGAGCATATGAGCGGGAAAATTCGATTTATCGTGAATCCTGAAGGCTCTTATTGTTGCTTATTTTATTATACGGACTTGTAGAAGATTCAGAATTATTTCTAGAGATGTATTGATATATAATATAGATATTCTCTTTTGAGTTTTCTCAAACTGTCACCCCATGTTAGTTGATAATAAAAAGATTGAGACTCATTATGAGTGTATATCAATTCAAGAATGTATTTGTCTTCAACCTATTTTTGCATTCTGTTTCGTTTTTGATAATACGATTATCATAGTCCAAGAATCAACTTTCATAATTACAACATAAATACAAAACGAACTCTCAGTTATATCCTTGGGATTTCATATTAACTTCAGTACAATGTTTCATCAATATTGTAAAATCTCTGAGAAAATAAAAGTTAGCCTTTCAACTCTTAACACAAGCATAAATTGATGAACAATCTTGAAACTATTTTTCAATGAGACAGCTACTGCTTAACGATTCATTGTGAATCTAGGTCAGTTAAACAATGGATGTGATGTTACAAAATCATAAATCAAATCCTCACGTTATTAGTTCTTTGGATATTGCACTTGAGAAATAAAATAACTAAGTACTGAAATAAGAGTTGTAGAATTTTAACATAGTCAAAACGAATATATTATGGAACAAATGCGTACCTACTATCGGCTTCTCACAAGTAAATTTAGTCTGATCTTCAGATAAAAGTGAACTTGAAAACTTTGTAACAGGTTTGAATGAAATTTTGTAATAACGGAAAAATATTATACTTACTTTGTTGAATCAGTCTGAAGATCATGTTATTTTCTTCTTGAGTTTCCAAAGACACTAAGTCCATGCAGTATTCCCTGCAGATGTTTCTACCATCTAGCCAGTCTACTTTTCTATTAGCTAATTCAGGTACGCTTCCAGTGAAGAAGTAGTTATGTCCTCTGAAGAAGAATTGTTTTGGTCCTGAAATAATTTCAATGTTGGGATTGTGAAATGATATTAGCGATATAACGAAAACGTGATATGTATAAATGCATTTTGGAAAAATGCTTTGAAACTGAAATAAAAACAATATTTTTTTTTCAATCAGATGACCAGTATTGATTTCATGACAACTAAATGAATTCAAATGGTTCAGTTATATTAGGTTAGGTTAGATTAGGTTAGGTTAGAGGTTAGACATCACGTATTTGTATAAAACGTGGAACCAAAAGCCATCAATAAGATAAGCCGTGACAATGTGAATACTATCCTGGAGTGTAGGTATAGTACAGTTTTTGAAAAACTCTTTGAGGTTAATACATTCTGTTTTGAAAAGAGATTTTCTCATTTTTTAATGAATTTCATTCGGACTTAATAGATAGAATTGAAACCTCTGGCATAAACACTTTTCCCACATCTCAACAATTATCTTAGTCATCTTCTGAGGATGCTAACTTGGTTATCGAAACGCGTGTCGATAGACATTACTTTTGTTCTGGTGTTTCGGGCTCCCTTCGTTATTTCTTAAACTAATAGAGGTACGGAAAAATATGAAGAACAAAATACATATCCTTTGGTGAATTTTGATAATATTGGTCACAAAAAATGCATTATTACTTTTTGTTGATGACGGTTTTCAAGCGAAAACAGGATTTTATTTTTGTTGAAAAATCTATAATTCACTTAGATTTGTGCAAACGTATATCACAAAAGTTATATGTATATATATAATAATTGCCTGAATAATTTTTGAAAGATTCGAGTTGAAAAATATTTTCTCCATTTGTACAAGTTTGTTGTAAAAATAAACGAGACTGAACGAGCAGAGAGTATGACTAGAAATAAATCACCATAAACCAATTATGCGCTATGAAACAAATTATCTGCTGGTCATACCACACCCACCGAAACACAAACTAGAAAGCGAGAAATCTATCTTACATATATCACCCTGTACGATGAGTCGCCAGTGACAAAGCCCCTCTGGGAATTTAAATTCAGGTTCTGAATGAGAAAGAAGCGATGGAGTATTGTGAAATCCGTGAAAGCCAAAATAAAGTTTCCAGTTGTTATTGCACATCATTGCCTATACGTCTGATGAATTCAATATCAGATGACCTCTCTTCAAATGAATTCAGCTCATTATCAACATTTGAGGAATTATTTGCATCGTTATAATATTAACACCAACAGGTTCTGCGGTAGAGTGAAACGAATGATTCTAGCACGGAATTTTTTGAATATTTGTACAAAAATAGAAACACTTTTGGAATTTTTTAGGAACGAAACATCTAGTCGGTGATTTGATATACTATCATGGCGTGCAAAAAAACAAGTCTGCTAATTTGCATGCAGAGTGGCGTCATCTTATTTTTCATACTCTTTCCAGCAAAGTCTTTCATTTGGTACCCATACCCTGCGGGTGTGTAAAAAAACTGGCCATCTTGGGCGGCGCGCCATATTGGATTTGGAGTGACGTCATATTATTTGATAAACATCTATAACGTATTCAAGAAACACTTTATTGTGAGATTCGTGTTTCGCTATACAATAACTTCTTCAGGCGTGTCTGTGGTATATACGTGTTTCCTGAATATGCAAGTTAAATAAAAGCTTGTCTATGTACCAATAATGAAAACTACAGAATATATTTTTCGAGAAAAAGTTGGGAAAGGGCTAAATAGGTCAATACTGATGGCCCAAAAGTTGCTAGATTAGTCTAGGCTTTGAATGTATGTTTTTATAACGGAAGTTTCACATTTCCTAATAAATATTATCATCCATCAATTAGCCATATATTTATGTGGGCATAAACTTTCTCTCATTAGAAACTTTTTAGATCATTTTCTTCTTCAATCTAGTTTTATCGAAAGTACGAGGAATTGACAAAATTAAAGGACAGCCTACGAGCACATCCAATTTTCGATAATAAACTTGAACTTCAGCAACTCAATTCGGCGAGTTGAATTTTTTATAAATGATTTAATTCAGAAACTTTCAAATAATAACTATTGTTAGAGTTTTACGGACAGAATGGAAGAAAATATGTTTTGATCGAATTTGAGAGTTGCCATGAAAATGTCATTTAATATTATTTTGAACTTAATATGACTTCATTGGTAATACTCGTAATTTAATGGAGATTTACAAGTTTTGCAGGTTTATTTTCAAGGGAAACAGTGCCAGAGCAAATGGAATAACGGCAAAAAAATTCAAATAAACTGTTATTGAAGAAACCATTAAATAGTAAATATCAACACAATCCTAACTTATTATCGATGATAACCATATACCTAAGTAGGTATAATTTATTTTAATTAGAATGAATTATTTATTCCAAGGAAATCTTATTTTATTCGTTTTAGTTCATTAGCCACTACGCTACAATAAAGGCTTCCATATTTTTGTTTTATTTCAGTTTCTTCGTCCTCGCCTATATTCGTTTCTGTTGACGAATCATAGTTACATGTTTATTCCTGTAAGGTTATGGCTAGCTCCTCAAAGAGGAGGCATCGGCCATGTTGGATTTGTAATAACCTCACTTTGGAATTAAAATGGTGGCATTCAAATTATTGTGGTTTGAAATGCAGTTTCAAGAATTCCCACATTAATTAACCAATATACAGACGAAGTTGAATAAAAGTTTATAATAAAATGGCAATGGTATGGTAGGAAGAAACAGTACTGTCTGGTGTTGGAATTCTGATTTTATCTATTAGTTGTCTTGTGGTAAAAGCTACAGAGAAAGACGGCAGACAAAAATCATTCGGTTGTCAATGTCAAAAGTTGGCTTTGTAATGAAAGGTTTTTTTATCAGTTTGAATTTTTGGTTGATCCTATTGGTAATATCTTCATGTCCATCAATAGTTGATCATTAATATATATTTTTTTCGATTATTACCAGGATCGGTGTTATGTCATTCAATGTACTTTCTACCTGTTTGCTGGTAACGACAAACTCAGATATGTTGATGATGATAACTAACTTGCGTGTGTAAATAATTTGAGTACACACGTTAATGAGTAAGATGCATACGTTATAAGACTGAAAAGAAATAAAAAAGTGTAACTAAATCCTTGAATGACGATATAAAGAAAATATCAAGTAAACTTCCTATGTAATTTCGAATGGAATATTCTCATTACAACATTGACGTTGTTATCAGTTATTCTTATGTTTGTAACAAGTGGTCGAATAAAACTTTTAGTGCTTGTAGTTTATTACTATTCAAGATGCTAACTTATTTGGCGAGATATGTTTGGGAAAAGATATTTTATCATACGTGCAACAGTTGAATCCCACTCTATATGTTAAGAAGCAGCTTATGAGGAATTCACCTCAACGATGAAAAGGAGTGATGGCAGTACAAAAAAAGGGAGCAAAAGTTATAGATAATAATGACAATAATAATACTTTTATCATTTGCCATTTCTACAAATCACAAATGCAACAAAATAGAGAACTCTTCAAGTGCTAAGTTAGATTTACCTAATGCTTTTCTGGGTAAATTCAAAAGTGTACTATGAAGTTTATACATATTATTGGAGTATGATGCGACATTGTAGGAGAAAGAACGGCGGTATATTTCTTTGGAATGTTTTGGGATTGTAAGAGTTGTTTATCGACGAATGTTCAGATGGTATACATCAGTTCTGAATAGTTTTTTGTGTAAATAGGGAGATGTACCCAACGTGAGTATACCTACTGTAGAACATGCAAGTCATATATGATCTGTTGTACATAGTAAGTCATTTGAGTTGTTTAAGTTTCTCTGTAACTGTTATGCGTTAAAATTTACGAATTTCATAGATGAGTCGAACAGATGGTGATTGTATTTTCTAGATACAACGTATTTCTGAGCAAATTAAGCAAGGGCTATACGATAAATGCGATTGTACTAGAGAATTACACAGCATTTTTTATTTCATCAGTAACGTGTTTTTCAAAAAGTTTCATACATTTGTATTGCTAAATATCAGAGCCACTAATTTTTTTGATTTATTTTCATAGCATAATCAGTTGAAATTTCTTATAACGAACTAAGAACATCATTGATAAGTTCTACTGATAACTCTGGATCTGTCAGATTGAATGAATAATATATGTGAGTATAGTCCTCATGAAGATGCTAGCTACAATATCTTAAACCGTTTAAAGAGAATGCTTCCAAGATGCTTCCCTGAGGGACACCTGAAAGTAACTTTCGTCAGGTCTAAGATAACGAGGGCTGAGATATTGAAAAACAAAAGTACTTCCTTATTGCCACTTTTACAACTGTACGAGATGATATTTACAGATTTTCAGTCCAATGTATCGTCTTTAAAGAATTATCACCAATGAAAAAAAAAGAATTGAAACTTTCTATGTTTTTTACCACTTTTATTTGTAATAAGTTTGAAAATGTCCTATACGGAGATGGTTTCCGATTTTCCCACACTGACCCTTAATATCTTGAACACATTGGACACACGAGCAAACTTATTTTAAGACTGGATGTCTGATATACACTAGTAATACTAATGTCCGCATGCTCAAGATAAACTTCAAATCTAATTCCTGAGTGAATAATAATAGGTTAGGTTAGGTTAGGTCCAAATTGAGGAGGTCTATTCGACTCTCCACCGCAACCCGCGAGGGTTTATTGTGGCTCACACCTATTCACACTCGGCAAAAGAAACCCAGCTTCTCAACGAATCCGATTAGTTTGTATGGTGAGTGGCCTTTCACGTCACATGGGGAGAGTACGGCTCTGCCGAACTCTAAAAACCTGATTCGGTCCCCAGCGGGGCAGGCACAAAGTGTGTGCTTTGCTGTTTCATCATTTTCCAAACAGAGGCGACATAAAGTGTCTTCCGACAGTCCGAATCTCTGCATATGATGATTCAAATGACAGTGACCTGTAAGAAGGCCTGTAAGACTTTGTAGTTCATCTCTACTGTTTGGTAAAACGCCTTGGAGTGAGCCAATTCTGGAAGATTCT